TACAACGCTACAAATCTTTATTTTTTTGGTTCTATGACGTAATTTTTGTTGAGCGTGGGAAGATGAACTAAATTTATTTAATTTATTCAATTGCTCTGTTTTTGCTGAAATCGATCCTGCTTTTACACTTCTAGCCTTTCCCCTTTTTTCGACCGGAGAAGAGCTTTATATGTTTGTCTTTTCCTAAGGTCTTCTTTTTCTTCGTTGCCGATATTTTTTCCTCTGCCACTTCTTTCGAGTCTCCGCTCATTTTCTCATGAGATCTTGACGTGTGTTTTTCATCACCGCAGACATCCATAGACTGAAAATTCATTATCGGATAGGAATCCTTTACTGTAATGGTCACAAAGAATTTTTAGAAGGCGTAGTGGAAAGGGGCTGACATAAGCGGAATGGTCCATTGGGCTCTTCTGCTCGTCAAGTGGAATAATGGCATCTTCTTTTGCACCTGCTACGTGCTTCTCATCTTTTGGTTTTCTAGGAAAATATTGCATTAAAATCAAAGCTACCAGAGACTTGCAATGACTCTGCAAAAATTTTCTAGCAGCTCCAATCCATGTTAGCCAAGCAATGACGCGGCATGAACATAAGTATCTTGTCAACCGCACCCAAATGAGTCTTGAACTTCTCAAAAACACAGATGTCACATATTCATAGCACTTGTTCTTTTTCTTTTATTATATACTGGATAACTTAGTGCCGCTTTTCTGAGTTCAGGAAGTGTTACATAGAGGCGATTACCATGGAAAGTCAATATCTCAGAAAGTGCTCATTAAAGGCACAACCCAGGCAGAGGTTTTTTATAACTCTTCTCTTCGGTCAGAAGTATAGAACCCTAGGGGACAATCACAAATGTGGCGTTCACGTGCACGGAATTCGACCGACAAGAACGCTTTGGGCTTGCAAAGTAAGCTGCTCGAGCTGCAGCGAACGAGCTCTCTTATCAGGCCGTTGTCTGGTGCTCTCTCATCTGATGCGCTCTCTCGCCCCATACTCTCCTCTTCGCGCTTAGTCTCTCGTTCCTTTAGCACAGCCAATTAGGAAGGTGAGTGAGCCCTCAACCTGAGCGTTTTCGACGGATTCTTTTCCTTTTTTCTTCACTGCCGGCCCACTTGGCACCGATACATTCACATTCGTGTGCAAGAGCCACACCAGTGCGATCCTGGGGCATGCCTTTAATACTGCGAAATATGTTGCTTATTGTTTTCTATTGTTGGTTCACAAATTAACTTTCCCCAATTTTTATACTTTTTTTGAAAATTCCTGGGTCCAGTGTGCAAATTCGCATGTGTGTACCAAATGCTTCAAAAATTCTTGCTGAGAGCTACAACTTCCGCCCACCAAACCAACATTGCATTTGTTGGAGGGAATACTACCATTTGAATGCTCATCGGTTTTTCACAGTTTTTCTGAAAAGATAGTGAAGTCTTCTGACACGGATGCCACGCAATCGTCGTCAAAAAGGTGGCCCTAGTTGAATCAGTCGAGACGGGGCTGCACCAGTCTTGTGCTGAAATGGTAGGACACCTTAGCAGTGACTGATCGATGATGCACAAACGCTTTAACGAAGTTGATTGCACAAGAAATTCTAATAAATGTGCTCATCTGCTACTCACGTGTGCTCAAAAAGGGTGCGTTTTTGACCCTATGTGGCAAAAAAGACTCCGGGAAAAATTGTCCAGTTGAGCTGGTAAGTTTTAACTTTCCACCATACAGAGCAGACCCTACTCTAACTAACTGTATACTTCTTTTGTCCAGGCCTAACATTTTAGCAAGTGAGAGGGATGATTTGTCAGGATGTTGAATGTCGACGCCTCTCTTTTTTTTGACTCAAAAATTCCGACTCCAATCGTTTTTCCAAGGTTTCCACTCATACTGGTAAATGGCAAAGTTTTCTTACGTAGTGAACATCACAGTCACTGAATGGCATTAGAATGTCGCATTGGACCTTGGCTCTATTGTCAGTTGGTGCTCTCCCAAAACTTCATCCTCCCCTTCTCCTTTCTCTGCTCTGTAACTGCTACTGCAACACCAGATTGAGACTGCTCACTAGATGGTTATGTTGCCGTTTAGGTGATATCACTACCACATAATGATAAAACATTGATAGCTCAACTCCTAACTAGACAATTTTTTCAGCGGTTTATATCGATGGAATTTCTCATCATTTCATTTTGCAGACGGACAGATGGCCATACATACTTGCATACATACACACATACTGCACACCCTTACAAGTATTTATAGTTATTAATAGAGGATTAGAAACGATCACCGTCTCGTTTCTTAACTACGAAATTCGTTAGGTTGTTGAGCGCTTACGCCAGCTGAAACAACCTTCACATGCTTTAGTCCGTTGCTTTCTTGTTTGTCGCTTTGCTCGTTTGCTTGTGTGTTCTATTTATTATTATTTTATTTTTATTTTTTTATAGTCGTTTTATTTTTATTTATTTTGTCGTTTTATTTGTATTTATTTTGCTAATGGCGCACATCACTTATTCGCGTACAGCAAAATAATCCCAATGCGTCCACGTAAGCAGAAGCAGGACCTTCTTCACTCCTCTCACCGTCTTCAGAATGTGACGTCATCTGCCACCACCGTCGAGCCCAATCAGGTTTTCCTCAATCCCAGCCTAGAGCCGTTTCATACAGCTCCCTGGATCGATTCACTGGTGGCTGATTTCCTGGATAAAGTGGATCGGATCACGCAAAATCCATATTGAACAGCGTTTCAGACATCAGCGTTTCAGACAAAGTCATGAAAGTCTGCGATTCGTCGACCTCGTGTTGAACGTTGAGGTCGCCAGGTTTTTCGTGAAAATTCTCCATAGAAGTCTGTTGGAAGTGTTTTTATGTCATTAGAATTACGTGCGTTTCATGGTTTTACGTCAATGTAAAAGAGAATTCCACGACAAGGACGAAGGTCAAAAAAGTGGAAAATCGCCTAGTTGGGAGACATGCGGACCTCCTAAGGGTGCGGGCCGACGCGCAATTGGTAGCGAAAAAATTTGGTTTCGGCGAACTAGCATGACTCACTTTTGGTGTAGTTGGCGCGGTACACCCACCGACATAGCAGAGAGAGCATTAGGATAAGAGTCACATTAATGCGGAGATCAACGGGCATAAGGGGTCCCATTTTTCAGGTTCCGATCCGTTCCTCAGTTGGTTTTACGTTCTGGTTCATTAGATCATAATTATCTTCATTTTTCGAGTTGAAATGGGTTGCTTCTTCAGCGTAAATCAAAGCAAAGCAAGGCAAGTGATTCGTGTTTGACCCTCCTGCATACTCGAAGAAGAACTCTTGGATTTGCCGTGACGTGAATTTGAAGACTACGCTGCACCGAACATTCGTGGACAATTATTCCTCGACTTTTTTTGAGTGCGTAGATACGTGAGGGCGTTATTTCTCTCAAAGAAATCGGTGACATTGCTCGTAATTGAGCAGGCACCAAAAATAATAAGTGAAGAAATGAATAAGAATTTAGGTTTTATGTTAAATACGAGCAATTTTTTGTTGACGTCGTAGTACCTACCTGTATAAAGGGTTCGTAACTTCGTTGTCATCATTTAGAGAGTCCAAGTCTGTTTTCTGGAATTAGCTAGCATGGTAAAATCGGAGTAGATAGACATGTGTATAAATCTGTAGAACAGTATAAGACAAAATATAGTGCAGTTTTGGGAGCTCTCATAGTAAGAACGAAGGGGAGTGGAAATAACAGGCTATTTGATAAGTTTGCATTGTTATATTTTATTATTAATTTTTTTTATTGCTGCCACGGCGCCTTTATGAGAATTCAAGAAGTTCTAAACTTTTGATTCGCTCTATATTAGCGCTGCGGTACCTTCTTAACTCCCTTTTCAGAGCTAGACATTGCCAACTGTGGGAGGCAAAAGGTTATGTCGACTGCGACCAGAACCGGACCAATTGCTACACGATCGCATCGACACCCTGCAGCAAGGCAACCTCAAACCGTGTATCTCACAGGCGATCCAGTCTGACAAATAAGGATAAGGAACAATATTTCAATTTATATATTTGTTTATTTATTCATTTATTTATTCGATGCAAGCTTAGGTGCGCTACTACAATTACATTAATGCATTAATCCGACAAAATGCAGTCCAACGTGATTGAACTACGACTCAGGACAGAAGGTACAGTTCATATCTCGAAGTCTGATTGGGCGTGTCACCGGAAATGACGTGGCAGCCACCGCACTTGATAGATGTGTGTGGATAAAATACTCCGCCAGATATCAGCAAAGCGTGTTGGAAGCAGCTTATCCGCGCAACTTCTATCAAGTGCGGTGGCTGCCACGTCATTTCCGGTGACACGCCCAATCAGACTTCGAGATGTGGAGTGTAGGAAGATCTCCTGTCAGTGATAGGGAAAACCTTGAAACAAAGGCGATGTGCACATTGGAGTAGGTGAAAGCGTCCTAAGCGACTGCATAATGGTTGTAGGAAGCATCAATATTCGACTTCAGTAGGCCGATGACGCATAGAATAGTCACTCCCGAACGAGCAAAAGCATGCCTGTGCAATCGAGTCCGAGTTTTCCGATGAAGGTTTTCCCCATGCCTAGCAATTTAGCGTTCGACCTGCTAATAGTATTATATTTACTACCACTGCCTTAGAAGGACATCCTGTTGTGAAATGAGTTTATTGCAATTGCCTCAGGCCTAATCATAACTCTTTTTACTGGAGATCTTTTACCCAACCAATATATCAGGTCTCAAATACAACAAATCCAACAACACAAAAAATATTAATGTACACCTCATTTCAATTGCCCTGCCGAAACAAGGACCTCTCCTGGTAAACTGGAAGTTGTGGCGTGCTCATGGGCCATCGGTTCGCGTACACCCCAAACCTCTCTCCGCCCGAATTCTGACTCTTCAAACACGTTCAGGTACGGAAAAAAAGTTCGATACGGAAGACAAAGTCTTTAGACTGTCGAAGATTATCTACCGACGGTCCTTTGAGGATGGAGAATAGGAATGCAACACCGCCCAAGCAAACAGCAGCCTATATCGGTCCACGACACATGTGCCAGACCCGGAAATTCCGACTGGAGAAGTAACACCGCGAATTCTTCCTTCAGAAGTACGAGTGGCAATTGCGAGCATGAAAGGGGGCACGACTCCCGGTCCTGACAAAATCTCAACCGACTTGCTTCGTGCAGGTGGTCACCAACTTCATGCTCTTCTCGCTGACCACTTAACAATCTACCTTCAGAAGGAGAAGATCCCAGACCAATGGAGGAACTCACGCATGATTATCCTCCATAAGAAAGGAGACCGTGATGATCTTCGCAATTACCGCCCAATTAGCTTGCTGAGCGTTCTGTACAAGCTATTCACCAAGATCATCCTTACACGGATCTCTCGATCACTGGATGAAGCGCAACCTACCGAGCAAGCCGGATTTCGTCAGGGATTCAGCTGCTTAGACCACATCCAGTCAGTCGCCATGGTCATAGAAGTGTGTCGAGAATTCCAAATGCCTCTTGTTCTTACCTTCGTTGACTACGAGAAGGCTTTTGACAGTGTAGAACAAACGCGATCCTGTCAGCATCGACCAAGGAGTGGAAGCGTCCTACGCCTACACAAGAACGCTGGCCGATTGCAATCGTCG